AGCGTGGCTTGACGAGCAGTACCATGTCCGCGTCCAGGATTCGAACCAACGAAACACTGGGCCACCTGCAGCGGAGCGCGCGAACTCAACCACTCGGCCACGGGGCCAGCCCCTTGATAGTATACTTTCACTTATACTTTTTGATAGTGTATTAGATTGTATTAATGGTAAGTTATTGGTAGAGAGCTAATGTATAAAACCTTTTAAGGTCCATATTGAACTTAGATCTACATAGAAATATCAAATAATACGGTATCATATTCAATTACTGTCTACATTGAGATATTCCTAATCTTTATGCTTATTAATGTAGTGTTTGCTTTAATTTTAATTTACTTGACTAATTCCTCTCAAGTATGGGAGGGGTACAAGTTTCCCCTTATATCAGATTTTCAGTAATTTATGAATATGAACTCAGAAATAACAAGAAGTGGTCTTTTCACCACTTGTAGTAATATGTCCAAATTCAAAATCATTTATATATCCTTACAAAAGTCCTTATTAAGTCATGAGTTTAGTAAACTCTTTTATAGTGGTCACGGAGCATCAGTGATGTAAAACAAAATAATTGATGGTGTGGTATGCATCCTCATTATTTTAAAAAACTATGACCAGTATTAGTTTTCTCTGTATTTAGTGCAAGTCAAGCGTAGCTAGAGAGAATGGGTTTCACTGAAATATTTCTTGTTGTTAAAGGATAGCACTTGATTTTTTTGGTTGTGATTTAACCAACTTTAGAAAGTAAACATTTCAATAAATATTAAGCCCCCAAACATACCTTATTCTAATCTTTGTTAATATAGAAACGTACCTTTTATGTCTAAATTTCTTCTCTAAATTGAAAATATATGTTATATACTATCGATAGAGCATAGCTAGAACAGAGTAAATACATTTTAGAACAGTGGAAATATATTAAAGACATTTTTTACATTGTAGATTTAGTTCTCTGTTAAAAGATTTTTTTTGGCTTGACTTCATTTCTTACGACTATTTCAGTGTTTTTATAATTCATGCACTTACAATTGTTAACAGCCATATAATATGCCATATATTCCTAAATCATTTTTTGCTTACACATTCACTGTATTGTTGGATCGTCTTCAATATTTTACTAATATAAAATTCTCATTATGAACATCTTTGTAAAACTTTTCTCGTGGGCAAATTCCTCTAAATGAAAATATCAGGTCAAAAGGTATGAAAGTAATCACTGAAAACGCAAAAGAGAGAATATCACTTCCCTTTTAAAACCAGTCACTGGCTTCTTAGAATAAAATCTAAATTGTTTACAGAACTATAGGTGACCTAGCTCTGGCTGCCTCTCCAGCCTCGTCGGGTACCATTCACTTGCTCACTCTACCCCAGCCTCACTGAGTTCCTTTCTGACCCTTAAATATGCCGAGCTCTTCCCCAGACCAGGGTTGTGGCTTTTGCTGAACTTTTCATATGCCCGGTTCTTTTCATCTTTCCTCTCAGTCAAAAATCATCTCCTGAAAATAGCCTTCCGTTGCACGCTGCCTCACCCCTACTTTACTCTCTATCACGTCACTCTGTTACTTACCACGCCCTGCGGGGCCTTGCTCCGTTGTTTACTCTGTCTCCTCCCCCACTCTAAAGTAAACTCCTCGAGGGTAGGAACCTTGTCTGACGTTCTTCCCTGTATCTTCAGCACATAGAACAGTGCCTGGAACACATGCTCGGAAAATATTTGTTGAATAAATGAAGGAAGAGCGTAATTACTCCATTATATATTGTCAAGTTTATAGCCTTTGATTTAATAGTCTTTTCTCCTCCTGAATGAGGTAAATTGGTAATGTATTTCCTCATTAGCATGACACAGAAAATTAATATGTAATGTTTCAGTCTTCTAAACCTCAAAAATCTCTAGTAGATAGAGATTATTACATATGAAATAAATGCTACAAAAATGTTTTTAAAAAAGAAGAATATGGTGGCCAGCCTGGTGGTGCAGCAGTTAAGTTCTCATGTTCCACTTCAGTGGCCCGGGGTTTGCAGGTTGGAATCCCAGCGTGGACCTACACACTGCTTGTCAAGCCATGCTGAGGCGGGCATCCCACATATAAAGTAGAGGAAGATGGGCGCGGATGTTAGCTCCGGGCAAAAAGAGAAGGATTGGCGGCAGATGTTAGCTCAGGGCTAATCTTCCTCAAAAAAAAAAATAATATATATAAACTAAAATGAAAAGGAAGCCCTGCTGGCCCTCCCAAGTTCCTTGGCCTGGGAGGAGCCTCTGTTAATACCATATTAATCCAGTAATCCACAAACTGTCTAGGGCACAAGATTCATGTGGGTTGATCGTCATGCAGATTCTAGGGTCCCATCCCCAGAGACTGTGATTCGGTAGATCTAGTATACTAGATCAGTAGTAAATCTAGTATGATCTACTAGATTAGTAGATGTAGTGTGAAGTCCAGGAATGTGTATTTTTAGCATGCAGTCTGGGTGATTTTGACATAAATAGATGATGCTTGAAAAACATATTTTTCAAAATTCCATTAAACCATATCATTATACCTGTGTAATTTGTATTTTAAAGAAATTATGCCATGTATGCAGTTCTGAAAGTTTCTTTTTAAATACTTTTTGGACCCCTTTCCATGCCAGTGTTCATAGATATATCTCCTGTTGTAATAGCTGGCTATTATTCTACTGTACATGTGAATAATAGAGGAAAATATAAACAAACAGACATTTAGATAGATATTTGGATTGTTTTCATTTTGTCTCTTGCTCTTATCAACAATGTTGAATACATACACTATGTAGAGTTGTGCAAATATTTCTTTAGAATAACTTCATAGAAGTGAGATTGTTGAGCCGGAGGATAATCATATTTACAACTTTGGTAAAATTGAGCAATTTTCTATGTTGTTTTGATGTTATTTTGATGCTTTTGATGTTGCGCATCAGTTATGTTTCACACAGTATTTGAACTAAGCATAGTATGTCATCATTTTTATTATTAATCCGTGCCCTGATATACCCTCTCTCATTCCTACAGATTTCTGGATCTCTAAATTCTTGGCCTTGACTGCCTTGTTCTGACTTCAAGCTCATGTAGAAACCCTGCCTCAAGACTTACTCCAGACTCTGACTCTAAATTCACAACCTAATTTCTGTAGTTTTCCAGAGCTAGCTGTTGCCATGCCTCCCTTGCACTCATCACTATGTCATGACTGTGAATCCACACCCTAGCCCAGGTCCCCATAATGCTGTTCCACCCACATCCTTTCACCTACTCTTACACACATGGAACAATAACAAACAATATGTAATTACACGCTAATTATGTAGTAGAGGCTCTAAGTAGAGAGTAGAAGAAAGTCAATGAGAATAAGAGCAGTCAGGGAAGATTTCCTGGTGCTACATTTTTAAAATGCCTTTTATGTTTTGTCTCTGAGCATCGAAGAAGTTCTATTTTAAAGAGGGAGTAGGGGTCAAGAGGGGTGACTTCAGCTAGGCCCTGAAAGATGACTGAGATCTAAATAGGCAGACAGCAGAAAAGAAAGCAAACAAAGCAAGAGAAACCAGAAGTAGGATATTTTTTTCCATGGTCACTTTGATGCAGCCACTTTGATGGACAGCCCAGCAAAAATGTAAAAATCGTGATTTCTTTTTTTAATTAAAGTGATGTGTGCAACCAGATGTCCATGGCCTGTATTCTATCCCTAATGCTCATTCTAAATGTGGTAGACTTCCATTTCCTACTTTAGTCACTTTTATATTACTTGATCTTTAGGTAAGCATGTATTATTTTTATAATTAAGATTTTTTCTGGGTTCAGCCCTGTGGCCGAGTGGTTAAGTTCGCGTGCTCAACTTCGGCAGCCCAGGGTTTCACTGGTTCAGATCCTGGACGTGGACATGGCACCACTCATCAAGCCATGTTGAGGCGGCATCTCACATGCCACAACTAGAATGACAACTAAAAATATACAACTATGTATTTTTGTGTGTGCAGCCTTGGTGAAGTTACTAACTTTTCTAAGTCTAATATTTTCCTCTATAAGATGAGGATAATACCTATGTCACAAAGTTTTTGTAATGATTAAATAAAATGAGGTAAGAGCAGTGAAACACTTGGCACAAAGTAGGCCCTTGGTAAATAGTTGCTATAAGTATTTAAGGAATATTAGTATAGAAGTATTTTGCTGAATAGATTGGAGTGAAGAGAGCTTTGCATCAGGACAGTGGCTGAGAAGACTTATGAGAAATCCAGGCATGATATTCAAATTAGTGGGATGGCAGGGAATAAGAGAAAGGACAGATAGCCATAGGAGCCATCAAGAAGAGAAACTGACTCTGTGGGAAATATGGAGGATAAGGAATAGTAGTATAAGCAGGGTTCTGATTCTTAAGAATGGAGGAGATTGTCATTACCAGATGTTGGAATTTTTCTGGTGTACAATTCACCAAAGTAGGAAGTAGTCTATATTTGTATCTTTGTATCACTATAAAATGTAGTTTGGGAAGCATGAACCAGGAAAGATAGAAGTCAAAGAATGTATAGATAACTGATAATTCAGAGAAATATATTAAAGAATTTAGTTTCAGATGACAAGATTTTGTTGGAATCTATTATTCTAGTTTACTAACACTAAGTGGTGGTACCATGAAAATTTTACAACCTCGTTTAACACGTATAAGAAGAGATTACCTACCAGCAATAAAAATTTAAATGAAGCATATCTTCACCTAAACCCTTTTTCAGAGTTCGAATTCTTAGAATCCAAAGCAAAAATCAAATTATTTGAATATATTTCACTTTGTATTTTATTTTATTTTATTTTATTTTATTTTTAAAGATTTTATTTTTTCCTTTTTCTCCCCAAAGCCCCCCGGTACATAGTTGTGTACTCTTCGTTGTGGGTTCTTCTAGTTGTGGCATGTGGGACGCTGCCTCAGCGTGGTCTGATGAGCAGTGCCATGTCCGCGTCCAGGATTCGAACCGACGAAACACTGGGCCGCCTGCAGCGGAGCGCGCGAACTTAACCACTCGGCCAAGGGGCCAGCCCCACTTTGTATTTTATTTTGATAGAAAGTCCAAGTCAGTCACTTTGGATTTAGTGCTATAGTGAACATTTTTTGTTGCCTTCTCAATAATCCCTTCTCTCTTCCTAGCAGTACCTTGAATTTCTCAATTTCATGGTTTGAGTGGGATTGACCCCTCCTCCAGCAGCTTCAAGGTTAGGTCCTGACTAGCTTAAGTCAGTCAGTGTGTTTTGGCCCCCTAACCCAAGGATTGGTTCATAGATGAAAACATGCCTCACTCCAGGCCAATAAGGTACAAAGAGTCTCAATTCTCAGAATTGGTTTGACTTATTGGGGAAGTAAACTTTTACTTTTCTACTACAGAATGGGCCTGAAGAAAGTAGCTCCAAACTGTTGGCAACCATCTTTGTGACCACATAGAGAGCCTGGTGAAAATGGAGTCAACATTGAAAAAGCAGAGCCAAAAACTTGAAGGCGAGAAGCTGGCTACTTGGCCTTGTTCTTGAGCTGTTGGGGTGAACGAAAGCTTGTCTGGTCAGATCTTTGAATTTTTCTGCAACATAGTGCATAAAATCACTTCAATGTTTCAGCTAGTTGAAGCTAGATTTTCTGCTACCTGCAGCCAAAATCCCAAAGAATACAAGTGCCAACCCACTTATGAATGTTAGTATTGCCATAACCTCTGCAGGACATTGTCAATATCATGTATCACGCATAGCAAATGGATCTCAGTTAGAGTTTCAATTTGTCTGTGCTTTGGCAGAGTTTACGGCAGAAACTGAAGTCACTGAGGTGCAAATTTCCATAGGGATATAGAATCTTTAGTAGAATTAATGATTGTCTCATTAGTAGATATGTTACAAGTTAGCTTCTAGGAATATTTTCAGAAATCTCTTATCAAGGTTCATTTGACTACTTAACTGAATACTAGGAGGGATGGGGGTAAAGTAGCTTAGGTCAGTAATTTCAGTTTATTTTCTAACCTCTTTTTTTGTTTTGTTTTGTTTTCATGCTTTTTTAAAATTGAGGTATAATTGACATATAACATTATATTAGTTTCAGGTGTACAAAATAATGATTCAATGTTTGTATATATTGCAAAATGATCACCACAATAAGTCTAGTTAATTTCTGTGTTCTAATCTCTTAAGAAGTATTTGTGCTACTTTTAAAGATGTAAAAAACATGGAATTTAAGTTTTCATTTTGAAATCAACTCACTCAGTTTTATATAAGATCTCAACTACAATCTGAAGACATAAGACACTGTTTGAAACAAGTCATTGAGTAAACATACGTCCTTATTATTGAAGGTGAAGATTTGGGAAATCTTTTTAAAGAAGTGGTTTTTCTGAGAGGGTAGAACTAGTTCCCTGTAAATCACGTTAGTCCTGAGGAGACCGTGGCAAGAGTGGCCCCAAGCCTTGTGACATTTGTAGGAGCTTCTGTGAAGGGCTAGCCAGTGCTATGGCTAAAAGGGTAATAGCTAAGAAAATAGATGAAGACTATCTGTAGAAGAGAAAAGAAAACACAAACAAACTACCAGCTGGTCTCAGAGAATCCATGAAGCTTTAGTTTATAGTTTTGAAAATGGCACAGCTATACTTGTGCAAAGTCAGAGCGGTTCAAAGAGAAGGAGTCAGTACATCCTGCAGAAGTTGTGGGAAGATCTAGGTGCAGCATTGGCATGGCCAGTTGCTGGAGCTACGACATAGCTATAAGCAACTGTTCAGGAATTAAAAGAACTATAGAAAAAGACTTCTGAGGAACAATCAGAGGAATATATACACATACTGAATACTACACATATTAAGAAATTGTTATTAACTTTCTTGGGTGTGATAATGATGTTGTGTGTTTTTTTTGTAAAGCACTAGTTTGTTAAAGATGCACACCGCACACACACACACACACACACACACACACACCCTACATAGGCTTTTATTAAAGTGGAGGGACCATGACTCTTTTTGGATCTTTAATAAAGGTAGAATTTTCAGTCCTTAGAAGTTGAAGGGTGATACAAGAATGTCACCTGTCATGGAGAATGGAAGATTTGCAAATCACAAGTTTTCTATAAATGAGTAGCAGAGACTGCTAGTGATCATCAGCCTCCCTTGACTTAGTGTGGCCATATGACTGAGTCTGGCCACTGGAATATTAGAACTGTTGTGTGCTCGTTCAACCCATCAAACCTTCCATGCATCTTTCTCATTTTCTTTCCTCATCTGTCAGCTGTAGGACAGGACTCCTAGAAAAGGATGGAGCCAAAAGCTGGAAGGAGTCTACATCTCTGAATGACTGCCCCTCTCTGCATTGAACTACAAGGCTCTATGGGATAGGTAAGAGGAATTTTTATTGGGTTAAGCCACTAACATTTTGAGATTGTTTATTACAGAAGTTAGTCCACCATGACTAATACACAAATCACCATCAAAATTTTAGATTATTAAATGATAACTGAAAGTGGTGTTTTGATTGTGATAAAAGAATTCTCATAGGTCATGTTTCCTAGGAAAAAGACTAAAGTAGAGATTAGCATGTAGGGAGTTTACTGGGAAGTGGCTTTGGGATGAAAACCTGTGGGAGAGTGAAAGAAGCAGGACTGGGCGGAAGGAGAAGTTGAACTGTGATGCAGTGACAGCAAAAGGCTCTGCGATTCCATGAGTAACCTTAGAGCTAGGATGTTCTTGTAAGTTGTCTCAAGTTGTGATGCAGGTGCAATTGTACCCCCGCACATGGGCCAGTTTTGGCCTATGGGTACTCCCAGGTGAGGGAAGTGGACCTTGGATGAGGCAGCTTCCTTTGGTGGGAGGCCATTTCTGAAGAGGAACTTGGCTGTGAGCCCTCAGTAGCCAACACTCCTGCAACTAGAGTGCCTTGGTCTTACTGGTGGATCTGGCAGTGCAACACTCATCCACTTCAGGGACATTCCAGAAGTTGGTTTGTGAGTGGCAATATGATTTTAATGAATAGGCCAAAGAGCTATTTAGTGTTCATAAAGAAGTCTACCTACTGAGGCCAAGGGATAAGTAAAGTCTGTATTACATGCCAAGGAGTTTGAGAAAATAAATATCAAGACAACAGATGGTGGATAGAAGAAGCAAGAGAATCTTCCCTGAGGTTCTAACTGAGAAAAAGAGAGATCTGGCTAAAGATAGCTGCATAAAATGAAATAAAACACAGCTTTCAGTTGTTACACTCCACTGACTTTCTGATTATCCATTCGATGATAGTAATCAAGTTTCATGGAAAACAAGTTGGAGGCTGGTAAAATGATCAAAACAGGGTTCACTGAGGCTTTTAAAACTTCATTCTTAACACATTTTTTAAACAGGTGATCCTTCTCTTATTGAATGCTGATTATTTGCTGCAGAACAATATCTTGAAAGGATAGAAAAGTTGCCCAGAGATAAACTCCATTTGGACCTGAAGTCTAATGTTTTTAAATTACATTTCAAACTCTGCTTGCTTCACAGAGCCTGAATGAGTGAGGGGTAACTTTGCTCCAGGGGTAACGAAAGAACTTCAGTGATGGAGTTTCTACCTTTTTTCCTTGAAGTTATTAACATATGTCCCAAAACAAAAAGAGTAATATAATTAACATCTGTATTCCCACCACTCCTTATTAATAGCTAATAATTAGTTAATAAATAATAATAGTAAATATTTTTTCCATAATCAGTCCAATGATCTTTTTTACTTTCAAATATTTTAAAATTATTTTCTTTGTTTTTAAATAAAAAATTATTAGTTTGAATTATACTCAATCATAATTTCATGACTACGTTTCTAATTCACATAATGACATTTAGATAACCTTTGCTAACTCCTGAGATGAATGGTGAAAAAAATGGGAACTTGCCCAGGAGAGGAAAGCCCCTGGAGGGTTCAGAGCTACAGAAATAAATCCTCAGGCCAGCTCCATGGGTGCTCAGTTGATCTAGTTCATGGTTTTAATGGAGTGCTGACTTCAAAGGAAACTTTCTGAAAGCTCACAAATACTGACCTCTTTCAGAAGCTGGTAATATGAAACAAAACAAAGTTTCCAACAACTCAGTTGCAATGAATTGTACTTGAGAACAGACAGTTCCTTTTAGAAGTAACCATATCCTATCATGTAACCCAGCAGGCTGTCCTGGATGACTACACTTGAGAATTGCAGGTTTGCTTTTTCTAAGTTTTCTATTCTAGAGAAAGTCACTCTTTTCAATGGCCATCTCATCGGAACAGAAATTGTAGGCCTTATCTGTGAAATAAGGCATCATAATATTTAGATGTGTATATGTTTATGTGTGTGTGTGTGAGTGTTTGAAAATGCTAATGAATATAAACTATAAAAGAAGTGACTTAGGGTACTCCATAAAAATATATGACCAATTTTTTTCTTATTGGATAATATGAAATACATAGTAGTGAATCTGCTGCCAGAATTCACTATTCTTTCCAAGTCATTTTTGGAATTGAGGGTCCTGAGGAGTGAGTATCTGCAAAATTCTTCTTGAGAATTATTCACTTACTCACCCATTCAACAAATATTTCTTGAATGTCTGCTCTGTGCCAGGCATTATTGTGGGCGCATGGGATGCATCAGTACAGAAAAACAAGATCCCTGTCCTCACGCTATTGGGACCTTACATTCTACTTTGGGAGAGAGAAAGTTTTAAAAAAGCTTAGTAAATAAGTAACTAAGTGATACAGCATATTAGAGAGTGATAGGTTTATGGAAAAAGAAAGAGAGCAAGATGAGGAGGATCAGGAGTGTTGGTGGGGCGAGATTAAGTAGGATAGTCAGGACAAGGCTCAGTGAGCCTGGTAAGTTTTGAACAAAGACCAGAGGACATGAGGGAATTTAGCTCTGTGACTTTGTGGGTGAAGAGCATTGCAGCCTGAGGGAGCAGCCACACCAAGGCCTGTCTGGTTGGTTTGAGGAAGAGCAGGGGTAAGCAGAAGAAAAAGTCAAGCCGTGACGCAGCCCCAGTGATAGCCATGGCCACTCCCTCAGAGTTGTTTTGAGTTAGGCCAAAATAGGCAGGCCTTTATACTCCCACAGTGATCTGTCATTGGATGTGGGCCACTCTGGAATGGCTGTGACCTTGAGCAAGGTGGCTCTCTGCAGCTGAAGGGGCTGAGAGCAGCGGGCTGTATACTGATATCACTCCCAGCAGCCTTCATTGAAGGCAAGAGATAGGAGGTACATCTCAGGATCAATCCCTGTGGCCTTCTCGTTCCCAAGGTCACCTGTGATCCCAGATGGCTGTTCTAACTCCAGCATTCCAGAAGGAAAAGAAGGAAAAGTGAATATCGTGCTGGTTGCATGCATTACTTCTGCTCCGTCTATTGCTAGAATCTAATCACATTGCGTCAAGGAAAGCTACATTATGTAGGCTTTATTCTTGGTGACCTGGGACCAGAAAAACAAACAAACAAACAGGATACTGAAGTACAACCGGCAGTCTCTGCTACTCTCATATGGCCCATTTTTGTAATGAAGAGAATGTGGCTTCACCACATGGATGAATAAATGAAACGCCGTCTTTTTTAGTTCATTCGGGATTTTGTGCTTTGGGGCCTTGGGGAATTGAAAGGCAGCAAAGAAACAATATCCTCTTGAAGAACTCATAGAAAAGAAGACTCTAAGGGAGAAGAGCGACAACAATTACACAGATCAGGGGTGGAGACTGTGAGGTTTGGGAATTAATGTGATCAGATTTGTGTCCATAGGCTAGTGGGTCTTGGGATCGGTCAGGTGGCATTTATGCAGCATAAATTGCTGTAGCATGGCTTCCTTCTTGAACCCCTCCCTTGGCTTGACTCTTATGATTTTTCAGTCTTCTTTACTGACTTTTCTTTTCATTCTTGACCCTTTAATGTTGGTATGCTCCTAGGGTCTGCCCTTAGTCCTCCTCTCTTCTCTTCTCACTATGCATCACAATGTAATCTTTACCTTTATTGGGTCACATAACTCTTTGAGAATGTGATGACCTTCAACCCCAGAAAAATGTCCATCTGAACATTACCAGTTTATTGAACAGAATAAACTTGATGAAGTACAAATATTAAAGATTTTATTTTCTCCCATCTCTGTCCTTAGCTGTACTGTATCAACTCTCCTTTACTAGGTAGGTCCTTTATGATGTGTCAAGATCCCACAGCTTGCTAGACCCTTTTAGGTATTAAAAAGCCAGTCGAGTCCACGTAAAACTCTAATCTCCAGTTTCCCACCAGCTGAGACTTGACCCATGACCTAATGACCTTCAAAGTCAGCCCTTTCACTCTTCTTCCATCTCTCTTCTGATTCATTGGGTTGGAGATTACTAGGAGGGAAGGTAGGATTTCCTTGTGTAACTGGTCTCCCTCTTGCTCTGCTGGTCATGTCCTCTGCAACTGGACTCTGCCAGGGTGATGGCCACTGCCTTGTAGATGGTGAGTGAGGTTTTCTCTGGGTACTTCTCAGAGTCACCTTGATCCCGTCTGATGCTAAGGACCTTTTTCAGCCTCTATTCCTGTTATTGACTCAATGTTGGTGTCACCCTCAAATTTGTGTGTTGAGATCCTAATCCCCAATGTGATGGCATTGGGAGGTGGGGCCTTTGGGAGGTGATTATGTCATGAAGGTAAAGCCTTCATGACTGGGATTAGTGCCCTTAGAAAAGCTACTCCAGTGAGCTCTCTAACTGCTCTACCATGTGAGGATGCAGTGTGAAGATGGCTGTCTATGAACCAGGAAGCAGGCTCTCACCAGGCACGGAACATACTGGCACCTTGATCTTGGAATTTCCAGCCTCCAGAGCTGTGAGGAATAAATTTTTGTTGTTTATAAGTCACCCAGTTCATGGCATTCTGTTACAGTCATCTGAACAGACTAAGACAACTTCCAAGACCTTTTCTGAAAAGACATCACCTCTTTTTGCTAGTGGCTGCCTGGACAGCCTTACAGCTTCTGTTTTGTCCTCTGTCCTCCAGGCTCCTTCAATATTCTATTTTGTACACATAATTGCACATAGCACAAACATTTGTGTTGTACAGGCAGGCAGATCTCAAAGGAAGAGGAAAGAATGGGTTGAGCTGCACATACCTCAATTCCTTTCTCTGAATCCACCTGTCAGTTGCCTCTGTCCTCTGTGGAAAGCAATGAGTGAAGGGGAAAAATGAGAACTGAAGTGTTACTCTAAGGGAAGTCCCACAGCATGGAAACATCAGGTGTGGGGGGAAAATGCTCCTGATTTATAGTTGACACGTAATTATCTACTGTACATATATGTCACACAGGCATACTGAACTTAAAATCTATCATACTGAGCTCATTATTTTTTAATATGCTCCAACCTCAGAATCTGCG